ATGTAGCAAAAGATTTGGCAATTTTTTTATTAAAGCTACATGCAAAAATGATACAATGAAAAGAAGCTGAAAAACAATAAAACATAAATTCAAATACATATTGCAAGAAACAACCTCAATTTTATGTTGGCAATAAGATATGATTATTTTGTTCTAATATCAAGACTAATTGTTATTATGACAATTTGGACCATTTTTTATTTATAAACAAATTAATCTAATTGCTCTTTAATTATATCTATCAAAATCTATAATAATCCATTTTATATTTTATGTGTCTCTTCTTGAACCATGTAAAATAATGGACATGTTGGAAAGAAGACAAATGCCACTTCTTTTTATAAAAATTAATAATTTTTAAAAGTTTGAGATCAAAAAAGACTTAGGCTCAAAGCACTACCAAAATACCTTAGAATATTTTTTATGTAAGCATGGATATGATATTAATAAATATAGTTAGGAACCAATCAATAATCTTGCAAATGTAATAAAGAAGATTGATGTTTTTCATTGACAACATCCTTTTAAATCAAGATAAATATTTAAGAAATTATTTGCTATAAAAAAATAATAGTAATAATAAAAAAAATAATAATAAAAATAAAGATTACATATTAAAATTTATTTTTTTATGGCTTTTGTGTATTTGTAATAATAATGAAATAAAAAATCAACAACCAATAGATTTAATACAAAATATATTATTTGTTGAATTATTAAACAAGGCATTGAGATTACTATAGCCTTTAAAATGTTATAATAGAAATGAAGATCCTTTAAAATGACATATTCTTCCTTGAATAAATGGTGAGATATAATATAATTGATATCACAACCTTAGAAAAAACTTCTAATTTTTGTTGAAATTATTAGAAGTATGAACTATCTTTAATAGTGTTCTAAATAATTTATTTGAAGGAAGTTACAAAGGCCTCACAAATAATCAAATAATATGATGATTTTATTAGTTTTGACACTATCAATGGTTAAGATGACCTATCAATTACCTTCATATAAAATAAATATTAGAATATGTAGCAAATATAATTTGTTATATTTATAAATTTTTTAACATGTAATCATTACCCTTTGTAGAACTCGTCCCTAGAAAGAAAGATGGAAGATAATGTCACAAAAATACATATTTATTTAGATTAAAGAAATTAAATAGCCACAAGTAGAAGTTAGTAAATTTGATAATATTTTGTAGAAAGACTCTTTAGAAGCTTCATAAATATAGATTTGATTTTATATGTATTTATAGGTGATTGATAAATTTAAAATTTAGCCAACAAGTTGGTTATGTGTTGAGTATATTGATAACTTATAGTAGAAATTGGCTATGTGGTGCACATATAAGAAACTTATTTTATAAGTTAGATATGTGACTCATAAGTTGGATATGTATTGGAGGTCTTTTAAAACATCGCTACAAAGCTCTTAGTAAGATAGTATATATGGAAGCAAAAGTGAAACATTGTTTTACTCTTATTAACATTTTTTTTTTTATTTTTAGTTTTTTTTTAAGAATCTCTAGTCTTTTTGTCTTTTGCAATAGTCATTTTAGTCCTAGTATTATACCATATTTGAATGATTATTTATTCTTTTATAATCACAAAAGAAAGTATTGATCCTTTGTGATTCATATCCTTTGTTATAATTATGTTTAAAGCTTAAACATGTTAAATTATATATATATATATATATATATATATATATATATATTATTCAATATATATGTATACATATATGTATTGTTATTATGAACGAGTTTGTACTCGCTTCTAATTTTAATATTATATTTGAAGAACACATGTATGTAATTAAAGATACAAATGTTCTTTTTTCAGATTTTTGTAATGTATTGAAGTAAAATAATTTTAAATAATTATTTTTATATATCTATTATTACTTTTAAGAAATAAAAATATTTTAAAGTATGTTTTAAAATAAATAATATATATATATATATATATATATATATATGGATTGTGAATTCTATTACTAAGTATTAAAAAATTTATTATAATAGTGGTATAAATTTAAATATTAGTTTTATATCAAATTATGATTCTATATTATAATAAAAATATATAAAAATATAATTTAGTTATTTATTTGAGCATTATTATATTAAAAATAAAAAAATAAAAAATTATTTAGTTTTATTTTATCTTTAATTTCATTTTTATTATCAAAGTTTTAAACCTATGCAATTAATATCAATTTATTTCTTCTACCTTATTTATTTATTATTTAACAATTTTTCCTTTTACAATTATATTTGTTTATTTTTAGTGCCTTAAATATGTTAAAAGACGAATTTAGAATCCCATAATAATGTATATTTGTGTATATATATATATATATATATATATAACAAAGATGGTAGTATTTTTTACCTATTCTATATATATATATATATATATATATATATATGTATATATGTATATATATATATATATATATATATATATATGTATATATGTATAAATTGTATCTATCAAATGGTGCATCTTCAATCATGTTAATGTTTATTTATTTTATTTAAATACATATATTATGATGTTTATTTTAAAATTGAGTAATATCCAAAGATTGTTTCAAATTACAATTTTAGTAAGTTATTTATCTGTATTTTGAAATATATGAGCAGTTTTGATGAATTTGATTCATTGATTTGATACCAACTACACAAAAATTAAATTAAATCATGAGATGGCCCATTTGAAACCAATTATATGACAATGTGTATATATATATATATATATATATATATTTATTGTACAAACATAATTACATATGCAATGAGTTTTTCATATTAATTTACAAAACTAACTGAGTACTGCAAAAATAAACAATAATAAAAACAAAAATAAAGCACTGAAATAATACAATGTAGTAGGATGATCATGCCATAAAACCAGAAAGACAACGTTTTACAGTATTCATAAAATTAAATTGGCAAACTAATGAATTAGAGATTAACTACCAATTTTTCATGTATTCGTTCTTTTACTTAAAGAACCTTTAACTTTACCCTTTTCATCTCCAAAGATCTATTACATAAACTTCTGGGAAAAAGCATCTCAAAAGCGAAAAATATCAAGCATTCAAAAACAAATAAACTAACAAAAAAATACAAAAAATACAAAAGCAGTGATTGAGAATCTAAAGTCAATATGTGAGACATCAAGTCGTGCTACCTCGGCAAGAAACAAAATCCCCCCTCCCCCCCCTTGACCAACTTTTCTCCAGAATGGAATTGAAGCAAAGGTGCGAACAAAACCCAAAAAGTCAGCAACAAGGACTACACCAAGATACCCACTTACAAGGCCCCTTTGGATTGATAAATTAAAAATAAAGAGCTCCATGTTCTTCACAAAGATGGGAGGTTTTTTTATGCGCTTTCAGCTTGTGGGTGCAGGAGGGAGAAGGAAGTTAGAAGCGGAGCCCACACTTCACATTCTGTGATGCAGCCTGTGGAGCTGCTGACAGCGCCATGGATGCACAACCACCACCACCACCACTGGGGCACACAAGCTGTGCTTTTCCCAAAGCTCGGCCCCACAGCCCACACCCACACAACACATAATCTCACCAAGCCATGCCAACCCAATGCGACGCAAACCAAGGCTCCTTGGATGGATGATAGTGAAGATCGATTACTGTGTAATGAACGTAGGAGTCTTGGGCCCGATGGGAAGGAGGCCATCTGGGTGGAGTGAGGATGAGCGCCACACGCTGCAAAGGCAGACAGCCCAGAGAAAGCGCAAGGCGACGGGCAGCCGAGGAGAAGAAACGACGGACCGTCCTCATTCTCGGGCAGGGAGGAAAAAGTTACAAATTCGGGCAGAAAGTAAAAGGAAGGAAGGGAAGGAATCTACAGTACCGGGCGAGGGGGTTGTGCGTGTGCCGGCTGGCAAAGGTCCCGCTTCGCACTCTCCGCCCTCCACGTTCCCCTGGTACAGTTACAGCAGGACCGCAGTGACTGGGATCGTAGAATCTAGGAGTAATGTTGATTTGGAGTGAGGAATGGCTTTGCAAAGATCCTACTGCCTCGAATAGAGAGTAGTCAGTGATGCTGAGAAGTGTGGTGGTGATGCCCTTTCTACTTGGCATAATGCTACGCTCTGCGTTCATGGTGGGGGAGCATCTGGCTCGA